GAAGCTCATGTGGATAATTCACATGATTTGTTATTACTGACAAGCTCATTGCAGCTCTCCTGGAATGAAGTCTGTAATTACTAACAAACACTACAGAGAAATACTACTGGGCCACAGAAATCATATGGGTATTGCTTGATATAAGTAAAAACAAATTTATTAAATGAAGATTGAAAGTAATTTTCTTATCAATCCATTATGAATAGTTCTGTACTATAAGAGAATATCAATAAGTGTAGTTCAAAATATGTCACATATGATTGATAGTGAATTTGGGTGTGTGTGTGTGCGTGTTTGAATGTCTGCTTGGAGAGGCACAGAGAGAATATTTATAAAATATTGATCACTGAAAAATTCAGCAAATAAGAGTGTTGACTCAGTTTAAGCTCCAGTTCCCCAAAATATAGATTTTTAAAAAACATTTATATGCAAAAGCTGCAAGTTTCATATCATTCCCTAATGTTCAATAAGAACTATAACTTTGACACAAAGAGGCAAAGAGGTAAATATCTTACTCAACAAGATATTATTCTTCCCTTGAGATTATTACTTTGGCAGTTAACACAGAAAACATAAATGGTGGAGATTTTAATAGTCACATAAAGCAAAAGGTCAGAGAGAGGAGTGGTTTTTGATATCAATACTATGCTAAAGATTTCACATTCCATTGGGTTGTTCATATGTTGATTCTCAGTAAACAAGAAGTAATGAATACTGAACACCTTTGAGTAATCACCAAAAAACTGTGAAAACAGAAAAAGCCAAAACTCAACAGATACACTAAAACTGAATACTAAATAATACAGGTCAAATAATTTAAAGAGAGAGAGAAGGAGGGAGAAGGAGGCAGTGTTAGAGTAAGCTGGAGAGATTAAAACAAAAGAATAACGGAGGACTAAAACAAAAAATAAACACTGCAACTGAAACAGCATGCCAGAAACTACAATATATCTAAATGATGCAAACACACCAACTAAAGGTCAGATTGTCAGAATGCACAAAAATGGCCCATTCATAAGAATATGTGGTATAGAAACAACACATCAAATAAAGGCCTTTTAAAAAAACTAAAGGAAACACATATTGTGTGTATATTGTTCAATTTTTTGCACTAAATACATTTTAATCGCTTTTTCCATAAACTCTCTGAAATACTTCCATATCATGACCATTGTCCGCTGAAAATAAAAGATGAAGATTTAACATGTAGATATAAATCAACGGAATTTAGGTGAAAAATTAACAAGTTAAAGATAAAATAGAACTAGAACAAATACAATTCTATTAACAGAAACAGAGAGAAGTTTTAAATAATAATAGAATGGTCAGCACACCAAGGAAATATAACAGTCATAACTATGACAGAGCTCTAAGATGCATACAGCAAAAGCTCACAGATATAAGAGGACAGAAGCAAAGGCATAGCTCTAGGTGAATAAGACTCTTCAGTAATGAATTGAAATAGTAGAAAAATCAGAAGGGAGAATTTCACAGTAGTATAAACTGCGTGTAATCCAAATTTCTAGAACATTCCACCCAACAAAAGAAGGCACACTCTGTTAGAGGTACTTTTATCACCTTTGATTCATCCAATTGGCGTGTGGGGGGGATTCATCTATTACTTTACTTTTCATCTTCATATTAATTTTAGAAATAGAGAGATTGAAAGAGAGAAGTGATAGAGATAGAAGGAGTGAAAGCTTCCCATCACTGTTGACTGCCTGCAGCCCTCAGTGTCTGGCCATACTGAAGCTGTGGGAGCTGAGCATCAAGCTAAGTCGGCTATGCGGGTGGCACTCAACCAACCGATTGAGACATTTTCTTCTGCCTCTGAGTGTGTATAAAACGCAGGGACCCACATAGAGCAAAGTCAGGACTTGAATCCAGGTACCCTGATAAAGTCTGTAAACAGATCATATAGAATTGTACCTGATGGACCAAAAGTTCACCTCTATGCTTCTCTTACTAGTTCTTAAACATTAAATTCATTAACAATCACACATTCATCATGATTTATAATCTTTAAGCTTATATCAATTGTCTATACAAACCTCTCACTAAGCTCTTCAGTCTTAAATTCACCTAAATTTTTACCACTATGCTTTTACAAGTTATTTTTCTAACAGTCATTCAAAACTTTTCCTTATTTTGAGGAATTTGATTTATAGTTCATGACATACATAAAAATCATCTCTGTAAAAACAATTCACAAGTAAAAGAAGTCTGAAATATAAAGTGATTTTATCAAAATCAGAATTAATATATAAACGGGGTCCAGTCAGACGGTTCAATGGCTAAATCCTTGCCTTGTAAGACACTGGGATCCCATATGGGCACTGGTTCATGTCCAGGCTATTCTACATCACATGCAGCTTCATGCTTTACATACTGGGAATTGCATAGAGGATAACACAAAGCCTTGGGATCCAGCACCCACATGGGAGACCTGAAACAAGTTCCTGGCTTCTGGTTTTGGATTGGCTCAGCTCTTGTCATTGTGGCCATTTGAGGAGGGAACCAGAGGATAGAAGATCAGATCTTTCCATCTTAAAAAATAATAAATAAATAAATAAAGGCTTTGGAAACACAGGCCACCTCCTGGAAAAAAGCCATTTTAATTGATTAGTTATATTACTTTAAGACAGAGTTATGTAGTAAAAGAAGAGAGGAAGAGACAAATCTCCCATCTTCTAATTCACTCACCAAATGCCTGTGACAGCACTTAAGTGAGACTGAGCCTGTGGGTGGGATCTTAATCCGGCTTTCCTAGGTGGGGAGCAGGGAATGAACTACCTGAGCCATCACTACAGACTTCCAGGGTGCACCTCAGCAGAAGGTTGGACTTGATAAAGGATCCATGCACTCCAACACAGAATGCAAGTGTCACAAATGGCATCTTAACCAATAAAACAAATACTCATCTCTGAACAACTTTAGACAAATGAGATTCATCTACATTTATTAGCCCAATACACTTCACATTAAAATCTTTTTAATCATAAGAATACATATATTCCCTGTAACTCCAATTTCCTATTCAAATAATCAGAGCTGAACACTGCAATTTAATTTCGTTACTGATGATCAAGGAGCAAGTCATGTAAAAAATCAGTAAAAATGAAATGAATTTCTGACTTTCAAGATTTCTGTCTTCAATAATCTGACAATGAAGATAGCTAATGAAAAGCTTTCGGTAACTTTCTGACTGTTTTCATAAGTCCAAGAATCAAAATAGAAAAATCCACAAAAGGAAAACAAATATATATCATTGAGTAGGCAGGTGTCACCATCATCTTAAGAAACTATATTATGTCCTGAATGTTTAGATTAGGATGTAGACACAACTATGGTAAACAAGAACACTTTTCGACTGCTTGAACGTCCTATCTCTTGGAATTCTTTCATTTCACTAGTTTAGAGAAGTGTATGTGTATTGCTGCTAAGAATGCAACATGGACATTGATTTTTTTCTAGTCAATTTAGAGATGAAACTGGTGTATTTTCAGAATCAAAACTGGTGTAGTTGTTTCCTGTTAGCTTTCCTCATTTCATCATTTCCCATCAAGAATTGCATTATGTTTCAAAAAATAAATAGTAAAAGGTGCAATCAAATGGTGTATCAAATAAAAAAGCCAACGATTGTATAAAACTTTGTTTTTCAATAATGTCAGTAGGTACTCCATGATACCTCACACTTTTTATTACTCTTTCCATCTATTTTCATAAAAAAAAAAGTTTTAATGGAGAAAACTGTAGGACGTAATGTTGTGAATAAATCATTTTTATAAAATCTTTGGGAGTAAATGTCTGCCATAACAGGTAAGTTACCATCTAGGAACCCCACATCCAATATCAGAGTGTCTAGTTCCAGTCCTGACCTAACTACTGACTTCAGTTCTGGGTCATGCACATCCTAGGAAGCAGACCATACTTCAAGTTAATGGGTCCCTGCCACCTGGGTGGAACACATGGGCTATGTTGCACGCTCCTGACTTTGGCAAGGCCCAGCCACAGCTTTTGAAATCATTTGGGGAATGAGTGAACAAGTGGGTGAAGATCAATTTTTATCTGTCTCACTGTATTTTTGTTTCTGTCTCTAACATTTCAAATGCAATGAAAACCAAGTAAAACAAATGTAGAAATAAACTCCAGCAGTATTAACTGCAAAACACATAAAATCCCTTCAACAAGTGTTTTTTCCTCATTGACTTATTAAACTCCTCAGCTGCCTGGGAGGTAAGTGACACATAAGGTGCATTTTGTAAATTAGAAACTAGCCTAAGGTCAGGAGTGATGCAGTGATACAATGATAAGCCGGTCTTTTGTACCAGCTAACTTTTTTCATTTTATCCTGTGACCAAATATTTCAGCTTGTCTTACACAGGGACATTCTTTCTACTTCCTTCATAAAAGGATAGTTTCATGACTGATACATGCAGCCGTGGAGACAGAGAGCAATATGTCTATGCATACAGAGCAAGTTTGGGCTCCCGGTGAAATGGTTGAAGATGTCCTGACAGTAGGATGATGGGCTCTCTGACACTGTCCATGCCAGCATTGTCACGAGACACTTAAATGACAGCACGATGGACTTACGACTGTTCATGAAAGACACTCATTGCAAAACTAGAGGGCAAATCAGTGGTAAATCAGAGAATTTGGGGAGGTGGACAGGAAATCCCATTCCCTGTTAAGCTGTGTCATAAAAAGTAAAAATTAAATAAAGGACAGTTTTATGGGATCTATAATCACTCTAAACTGGAATTGGCAATGAGGAACAATTCTAAAAGGTAAAGAATTACATTCAAGCTCACAGCCTCCCAGTAGCTGAAGAAACACACATCTTGGAGCATAAAGGTCAATATATAAATGACACTGAGTCTTCTCACAGCCACTCATCTTATTCTTGCCACAGTGGCCTGGTTATGTACCATTTAAAAGTTTTGGCAGAGAAGTACACAGCAGGGCCCCTGACTGAAGAGTAGGACCATGCCACTCACCCACATGGGGTCACTGAGGTCCGAGTCCTGCATGCGGATGCAGTCCATGCTAATCTCAATCTTGTTGGTTGCACCATTTTCTGATGGTTCATCCACAAAGTTCAAGTCAATGGGCTGAACTGAACATATAGGTCTACCATCAAAGAAAGAAACAAAGTGTGTTAGACACGGAAAGAAATGAAAACACACTCACCCAAGTGGCAACAATGAGCCCTTTTCTATTGCAAAACTAGCAAGACTCCTGAGTGGCTTGAATTCCCTAGGTCTGCATCCTGGTTTACCCTCTTACTAGACAATTTCAAGTCGCTGGGATCTAAGCCCTGCTTGTTAAATGGGCATAATGGTCCCTAACCCTCTCAAAGAAAGTTCTGATCAGAAAGCAGGGTAGAAGGGATGTGTCAAAGATATTTCATGTTGATGCCTCTTAGAGTCCCCCAAGCTTAGATATTGCTTTCATTTTCTCCTTAATTACTCACCAATCCAAATTGCCATCTGATAAAAGTAAAAATATTTTATAGCAAGGCATACATGAATAAGTGACCCACAAATCTCAATATATTCCCTTCTCAGAGAATACTTGCAATGTAGTAGTTGGCAAGTCTTCAAACTAAAGGAATGCATTTTGATCATAAAAATTGTAATTTCTTTGGAAGAGGCAGAAGAACACTTTTAGACCCTCAAAATGTATAAGTGCATCATCTTACAGTACATTTTTTCATTGTTAGAAGCTCAAAAATATCATTAAACTCTGAACACAGAGATGATATTGAAGGGCATGGATTTTCCAAGTGATATTTAACCAACTTTTACTGATAGAAACATGCTCCCAGTAAAAATATTTCGGTTCTTTACTTTTGTCTACATATGAATAAGTACAAATTTTCTTTCTTGCTTGATACTTACTGTTCCAGAAAATCCCAGATATGCTGGAACACTTCTGGACTGAGGAATTCACTCGGTTGTGTGCTCTGGGACATGGCAGATCGGTAATAACTTTCTTTCCAAGAGAAATGAGCTGGGGTTTCTACGAAACTTAAAAAAAAAAAAACAAAAGAGAAAGTAGGATTATAGTTTCTATATTTATGATGCTGAACATTTAAAGCAAATTCTATTAAGAAGATATCCAATGTTACCATGCTTATGTATCTAGCACCCTTACAAGATGCAAACTGCTATTTCTCTGGGCAAAACCACAGGCCCCATTTTGCCACACAATCAGACAGACCTCCAATGCTAGACAATCACTTCTGTTATCAAAGTTCTTCTCTCCTAATTAATAATAGTGTTATTATGCTTCGCATTTCCACAACCCAACATCTGTGTACTGTAGGTTTCAAAAAGAAAATAAACATTCCCTCATTAAGCCTGAGAAATGGTCGGACCCATCATTAAGTCTATATTCGTATCTCTACTGATTATCTACCAATTCTGTGGCCAGCAGTTAAAAAGCAGAATTCAAAAAGAGAAAGGAGCTCAAAAATCTTTTCATTTCACCCTCAGATTAATCACCTCTGTCTTAAGTACAGTCTTTGCTTCACATTCAAAGAAAACAAACTTGAACTTCCAGGCTTTCTCGAATTTTCTTTAATCACCAGTTATTTACCTTGATGTCTGTGTAGGTAGTTCTTAATTGGAGTGTGAAATTCTATGTTACACTGTGGGGTAAGCAAACATCTGAATTTGGCAAATGAATGCTGTTTCTGTTTGCTTCATTTTGCTGCTGAATCCTCAAGTTTACCTCCAGTTTACATGTGCGTGTATACATAGATTTAATTTGATTCCTGTGTATTTGAAAAGAAATACTCCTTTTATCAGGGGTTGTGTTTACTGACTTTCGACATTGAATAGATCTTACCATATAATCATTAGGATTTGATCAATTTTACACCAGAATAAAATCTATTGAGGCCCTACTCATTTTGTTTATAATAAAGGGTTAAAGAATATACTAGGATAGCCAATCATCGTACATTTCCAAATATATGACTTTTAGTTACACACGAATAATAACATCAGCTTTTCTTACATGATAATTTCCAAGTGATGTACACAAGATAATGTGCAGGTGCACGCAGCATGGGCAGGCATTGTGGTTTAGTGGGTGAAGTTGCCTCTTGCAAAGATAGTATCACATATGGGCACAGGTTAATAATGTTGTGGCTGTTCACTTCTGATTCATCTCCCTGCTAATGATTTGGGGAAAACAGCACAAGATGACCCGAGAGGCTGAGACCCTGACACTTCTGGGAAACCCAGATACAGCTCTTGGTTCCTGGCTTTATTTCGCCCAGCCCTGGCCATTGATGCCATTTGCAAAGTGAAACAGCAGCAGGATGATGGATTCTCTTTTCCTCTCTCTGTAAATCTCTCAAATGAATAAATGCTTATTATTATTATCTTCATTAGTATTTTTACTACACCAGCTTTGCCTTCCCACGTGATGGCCTTTATACGCGGAACAGATACGGGAAACGTTCAAAGCCATTCAAATAGTAAATAATAAAGCCTGGATTTAAATTAGGATCCTACGATTTCAAAACTGATGCTTCATTAAATTGCAAATTTACTTTCTAATTTTCATTATTACAAAACAAGTGATAGATCATAAGCATGAGATTTGTTAAAACTGTAACATCCTACTAAGGTCTGTCTTATCATAAAAGGCATCCCTTCTCCATATAATCAAGAAATGGCATAGGGGTACTAGTAATGACAGCTGAGTGTTCTTACAGAAAGGAGCTTCAACGTCACCATTAGGCTCGCAAAAGTAGTATAGGCTCAAAAGAGCAAGAGCACCAATCTAACCTGGAAGATTTTTCAGTCCTTGGATAAACTGTTTCAAAATTCTAACTATAACTTGTTCATACTACTTCACTCTTCCAAACTACCACATTACTGCTTAAGCTTTTATTACCAATCTCTCTTAAGTTTCTCAAAAAAAACAAAATGAATTTTCCAGTTAACCTCACAAAGTGTACACATTTCCATTCATTTTTAGTTCACAAGTCACTAGCCTATTTTTTAGAAATATTTTTTGTTATTGCAAAGTCAAATATACAGAGAGCAGAAGAGAAGGAGAGGGAGATCTTCCGTCCAATGATTCACTCCCTAAGCGACTGCAACAGCCAGATCTTCGCTGATCTGAAGCCAGGAGCTTTTTCTCGGTCTCCCACGTGGTTACAGGATCCCAAGGCTTTGGGCCAGCCTCAACTGCTTTCCCAGGCCACAAGCAGAGAGCTGGATGGGAAGTAGAACTCCCAGGACTGGAACAAGCACCTATATGGGATCCCAGCACACTCAAGGAAAGGACTTTAGCTGCTAGGCTACTGCACTAGATCCCTCTCCTATTTTTTTTTTTTTTTAAGATTTATTTGTTTTTATTGGAACTTCAGATTTACAGCGAGGAGGACAGACAGAAAGACCTTCCATCCTCTGGTTCACTCCCCAAATGGCCACAAGGGCCAGAGATGAACTGATCCAAAGCCAGGACCAAGAAGCTTTTTCTGGGTCTCATATGCTAGTGCAGGATCCCTAGGCTTTAGGAAAGTGGAGCAGCCAGGACAAGAACTGGCACCCATATGGGATCCTGGGGCGCGAAGGTGAGCATTTTAGCCTTTAAGCTACTATGCCAGGCCACTTCCCTGCCATTTGAGTAACTATTATTATTGTCATGCCTAGTTTAAAGGATACCAAAGATACCTTAATGCCTTTTAGTGAATTGCCTTGGCAGTCTCCAAGCTCCCTGAATTTATTCAGGTTCTTGAGAAATTGCCTCCGAGTAGTCACCGACATTCTCAACATGAGCCCCGTTAGCATCGTTCCTACTTGAGTGGAAATCATTTCTTTTCAATTGTGTGTTGAAGCCTGTTCTTTCTCCTGCCCTACATCCAAGCCCATATGCCAGCCTCACTTTTGGCAAACAGCAGAGAGAAAGATAAAATGCGTTTCCAGTGTATCTTATGCCTTAGTATTAATTTGCCATAATTTGAACAAACTGTAAAGAGAAATTCCTTTTTATATATAACTGAACTGATTCAATTCTTAAGCAAGCTTGTCTATTTCTGCACCAATTGCTCCCCGACCGTGTCACTCCATTAAGGTGACTCCCTTTTCAGAAGCCCCTCTCCCTTTGTGCTAGGGTCCATCTTAAGACCAGATTACCCCAAGTTTTTTTTTTTTCTCCTGTGACTCTTCTCTTCTAGCTTTCACCACAAATTCTTTTCATCAAAGTTCTGCACATTCCACACCTATTCAGCATCTTTTTTTTTTTTAAGTTGTTTACTGAACTGAATGGGAAAGTAGAAGAGAGATCAAGAAAAGAGAATTCTTCTATACGCCGATTCACTTTCCCATGTAGCCACAATAGCAGGAGCCGAGCCACTGGTGCAGGCGGGGCTCACCGCCAGGCCGCCCTGGCTGTGACAGAGCAGCCTTGAATTCCAAAGTCTGAGCGCTTCCTCTTCAAGTACTAAAACCTCTCAAATTCACACCCAGTTACCCATTCTCTAGCCTAGCCAGTTTTTGCCTTGGCAGTGAATTTTTCTCACTTTCCATTCCACAAGGGTTTTGTTCTGTCTTCATTTCCTGTGAGCATTTTCTCCCATCCAAAGTGTGACAAGTGCTCCACAGGTAGCACTTACTTCGGGGACCCCCTCAGGATTCACCACTGTGCCCCAGCAAAGCCTATTCATTCCTTTGGGCAAACCTACTGGTCTAAATTATTCAATCAACTATAATCTGGTGTGTGTGTGTGTGTGTGTGTGTGTAATCACTTTTCTCTCTAAGATTTTCCTATTTTTCTTTGAAAGGCAGATTTATATAGAGAAGGGGAGACAGAGACATGAAGATCTTCTCTCTGCTGGCTCACTCCCAAAGGCTACAATGGCTGAAGCTGAGGTGATCCAAAGCCAGAAGTCGGGAGCTTCTTCCAGGTCTCCCATGCAGGTGCAGGCATCCAAGGATGTGAGCTGAACTCTGCTGCTTTCCCAGGCCACAAGCAGGGAGGTGGATAGGAAACAGAACATCCAGGAGAAAAACTGATGCCCATATGGGATCCTGGCTCTTGCAAGGAGATGATTCACTGGTTGAGCTATCATGAGGTTCTCTACCTAGCATGTTTCAAGTCTTCTTTTCCTTGTTTCATTCCATGGCAATCTGACAATGTTTAAAAAGTATTTCTGGTACTGGCACAATAGCCTAGCTGCTAAGCCCTCACCTTGCATGTGCCAGGATCCCCTATGGTCACCAGTTCTAATCCAGGTTCCCCGTTTGTGCCCTGGGAAAGCAGTTGAGTATAGCCCAAAGCCTTGGGACCCTGCACCTGCGTGGAAGACCCAGAACAGGCTCCTGGCTCCTGGTTCTGGATTTGTGCAGCTCCAGGGATGTGACCACTTGGGGAGTGAATTGACAGACAGAAGATCTTCTTCTCCTTCTGTCCTCCTCTCTGTATGTCTGATTTTCATTTTTGGGGTTCTTTTTTGTTTGGTTTTCTTTTTGTATATCTTTCAATAAAAATAAAAAAATCTTTAAAATTGTATTTCCATTTGGCTAATGCAAGTCTGTTGTCCCAACTTACAAATGAAAGACTGGGAGTCCAAAATCACATTGCTATTTTACTGGGATTTTGCAGGTCAGGACTGTAGCATGGAAACACTGGGAATGGTAACAGGCGGATCTTTGGGATGTATCTCTCCTCTCTATTCCTAACAGAACCCTCACATGCAATCAGGACATTCATGCTCATCCACTGACTAAGTGAGTGGCCTGAGTTCACACAGACTGGAGTAGGTATAAAAACAAAAGTTGGAATGACTTCATAGGATTTATTCTTTCTGATACATCAGAATGATCTGTGTAAAGAGTGAAGCATTTTTTTCAAAAATGGGTTCAGAAAACTATAAAACTCAAGCACAAGAACTTAGAAAAGACTGACAGCTTCCAAATGCCAAGGGAGACTTTAGTGTGATGATATAGCAAATAAGTAGGTTTTCTAATTGGGACTGGTGCTGTGTTGTTGCAGGCTAGGCCTCGAT